GAGCAGCTGCGACAAATGACGTCGTAATTCTTTGCCTGCGGATGGTGCAACCTTCTGACGGCGATCGTATCACCTCGCGCCCCTCTCAGTCTCTGTGCCATTGGTTGCTGAGAGCATCCAGCACTTACCCCCGAGTTCCATACTAAAAGTGTTGCAGTCGCCTATGGCTCCCAAGAGCACGATCAGGAACTTTCTCTCAAACCTGCATATTTTTGCCTTTATCATCACTTACGTATGTCCAGACATCATCTCAGCTGAACTTTAATCAACTGACGACGTTCATGGTGCGAGTGAACTTGACAGTCGCGACGGTGTTTAAAAACTTCCCAGATTTAGGGAAATCGAATGTTCGTGACTTTGAGCCCGACGGTGGAACCAATACAGAGCCAGTTCAATCCAATTAATCCCTTCACAGCATGCTTCTAAATTATTAACTTTAATTGTACCGGGCGTTATATTTAAAATAACACAAACTACGATACTCTGGGGTTTTCTGAAACGAGTTGTTTGTTCTATTTTTATTTTAATTCTTACGCAGAACTTTCATATCACCTTTACAGCTCATGATGAAGACATCCACTACCCCCCCGCCCACCATCTTCATACGATCCTCCGAAGTTCCTCATTATAAAATGTTCTTGTTATTCACCGCACAGCCAACAAGCCAGAGGACCAGCCTTTGTCGGCTGACCCCTGATTCTTATTCCAAATATTCGCAGCCACCACCCATGTCTGCAGACCTTCTCTGTTTACAGGCTTAGAATGGGCTACGCCTCGGTAACAAAAGGACACTTTTGCAGGTCGGAAACACACGGAAAGGCAGAATATTTACCGAGTGAACAACAGTTCTCTCGCGTTGACGTTCTGATCGTAACATACTTAAGGACGTAGCGTTTTGAAGTCGCACGTCATAGTACCACGATTACTGCTACATTCTGAATAAGAGGGTGGATGAAAAATATTGAAATATGTATCCTTAGCGATCTGAAGGAATTGAACAAGCAGTGAAGTCGTCGGAGCATCGGCCACGTCCTGGAATTCAAGAGAGCGGGAAGACAAATCGGACGTGGCGGGAGGACGCGCTGAGACACGGGCATTTCCCTCGCTGTCCTTGTGAATGCGGATTCAGTAAATTGGAGCCTGACGCTGCGGACTTGAACTCAGAAGCTACCTGGTTCGAATCTCAACCCGGCCATTCAATTTTAGTGTTCTTTCGGCTTTCGTTGACACTACTTTCACACAGAAGATGGCTGTCTTCGAGGTTGTAGCAGCTTGTAGCCACACCGCTGTTAAAACCTCAAATACTCGTCCACCACAACCTTCCCATAAATGTATACTTCCCATTATTGACGAAAACGATAAAACTTCATTAGGCGCCACATAACCTCTGCATCCGAATCGGTATCATTATACAGAAAACGCATCACTGGTAGTTTCTGTCTACGATGAAAATGAATTGTCAGTTACAAACCAAACTATTCCGAGGATTTGTCACGATCCCTAGGCAACTCCAATCCACACAATCCGTCCTATTCCAAGGATCTGCTGTTTTGTACGTAACATAAAACGTTTTTACGGTGAAGGGCTGTTAGCCCTACGCCCAACCCGCATGTAGAGGACGACCCCTTATCGGCCGTCAGCGACTGTTTATTCAATGTATTCGCAGCTAACGTCAATAACTGGAGGCTGTTCGAATACTACATAACGAGGAGCTACGTGAATTGTACAGGTCACCTAGCGTAGTGAGGTGTTATCTGTGAGGCTCCGATGGGCTGGACATGCGGCACGCAGAGAGGTTGGGCTATGAGGATTGTAAATGGATGGAGTTGGCTCATGATCGTGGCTGGTGGCGGGATTTGGTGTTGTCGGTGTTGGACCTGTGGGTTCTGCGACCTGGAGTTAGTTTTACATAACAAACTAGCGTCTAGCCTACAGAATATTAAATAGGCGTGTCTCGTAGAAATATACAATATTCTCACTTTAATTTCGTTTATTTAATATGTTTATCAGAAAACAATGAAAAAGTCATCCTCAATGTAAATTAGAAAAGTGTATAGTATTTCTCATAAAATTTCGTAATTAAATGTAGATATGTCGTAATATTAAACCCTCTGCTTCAGCACAAACGTTTCCTTCTGTACCGCAGATCTGATGCCAAACTGTATCAACGGGATTCAACATGACCTAATTTTGGACTCCTTCGACCGAATTCCTGAGGTCCAAATTTCAGCTGACTGATTCCCTCTCCCCACCACCACCACCACAGCCCGTACGTGATCCAAGAAACGCCATGTCATCATCGTCAGTTGCCACTCAGGGTACAAAATTATCGGTTCGGTCACCTGTCATTCTTCGTACGCGGTCTCTTTTCCAGACATATCGATTTAATGGTTGTAATCACGAGCAGCGCAAGTTATTTCGGTAAAGAACCGCTTTAAAATTGCAGCCTTTATTGGAAGACGTAGGCCTTCGGGTCAATTTTCATGGTCACAAATTCTTTATTTAATCGAGTCACGCCGCTAGACGAAGTTTACCTTCGCTCAGATAAATTCTCACATCGGCCACAAACGATCCGCGGTGCATACTGGATGCTGTTAGTGTGGAAGGAACTGAAATTAACACAGCAGATGTCCTCCCTACCTCGCTCCACCCCTGCTCCTCGCAGGATCAATATGGCAGCCGCTCCAGCCCGGATGAAATAGTGTCGCTACTGGTGTTTTGTAAGCAGCTGCTGCAGAACGTCCGTCAACCCCCAGCGCACTGGACCCGCAGTCACGATGCATCCAACACCTGACATCATTTGTCTCGCAGGTCGGGAATTAGGCACAGCATTTTTTCCTTCCGTCGCTCACAACTAAGATCGATAGTACAAAACCTCTGACAATCGCCAATGATCCGTTCACTTCCTTCACGCAGACCGGGCGGGTCATTTGCACTCCGTTCAGAAATCAAATTCATGTTCCCACCCAATTTATTTTCCTACAGTCTAGCCTTAATTTAGTGGCATTCTTTTGTCTTTCTAGGTGGCTACGACAACCTAATTCAAAACCACCCCTTTTCATTGGTTTTCACTTGGCACATAACACTGTCGAAATAAAACCGCCTACTAATTTCTCGTCGGAACACCTGAAATGAATAAACTTTTTTGCAGTCTTACTTGTGGATGAGAAGATAATATTAAAATAAACGTTAAACAAGATTCATGCAACTGATTCGGATAAGAAGCGAGGGGCAGTCTCTTACGAACACAGTACTAAAACCCGTGGCTCCCTAAAAATGTACGCAATTTCTAGACCAGCTCAGCAAATATCAGCTTTTCAATACAACGCTGTGACATGACTTAGAGGTCCTATACTAAGCACTTTTACATAAGCTGATAGTCACTGAGCTAGTCATGAAATTCCCGTCTTATGAGGAACCCCGATGTGACGGGTTGAATATTCTTCGCGAAAAATAAACAAAAAATTAACCCGAGTTAATTCGGGACAGTAAGATTCCTTTCGTTCCGTTGATACTAAACCTACTTAATTCGGATCATGAAAAAATAAGTATAAACGACTTTGGGTGTCAGTAAATGTCGGACAGGATGATTTTTGTGAATGTGTGCCACGTGTAGTATGCGCGAGCCGGCATGCCACATGCATGCTGTAATTCCGAAGATGTTAACCTTATAAACAATAGACAGCTTCTTCGGATAATGATCATGAAAATTACATAAACGAGATTTTCTACAGTACGATGAATTAAAAAGTACGTCAATGACTCCTTTCTTGTGGGTATATTCCAAGCGTAAACTTAATAAAGTATAATTCTCTTGTCATATTTTCAGAGAAAAATTCAATCAGGGCAGGGTTTATTAAGAAACTTAAAGTTTTATAATATTCTCTGTCCTCTACTTTCTCCCTAGCACTCTGATCTAATTCTAAATTCTTCCTTCACGTAAAATACCAAGTTTCATGACAAGGTAAAACGACACAAAATTAGTGTCTAAAATGAGAGGTCTATTGTGTTTATTTAAAATTGCAGAAAATTCTATAATATATTTTTGCATTACCTATTAAACAAAAATAATACCCATTGTACAATTATGTATACGTAGTCTCTGTTAGTTCAAAGTTAACGCACGTAAAGATCAGTTTCAAGAAAACCTCACCCATATAACCCACTATCATACTCGATGCATCTCAACACCTCAAGTCTTATTTATAATCTTGTGTTGTATTACACTTGGGTGAGTTTATAGTCCAGCAATAAAGTGCATCTGTGTTCATGAGTTGGCGTGTTGGGCTTACGGACGATCGAATTTTACCGGAGCTGGATGTGACTTCAGCGGGTCGCAAGCTAGCGACCTGTTATTGTTGGCATAATAGTATTTTGTACGGAATATGAAGGAATATTGGCATTTATTGTCACACAATACCTATCAAATTTCACTATAAACTAACTGAACGGCCGCCATATTGTTTAAACTTTACAAAAAGTGTCTTAATGTAAGTTCGATTTCATAATTTCAGAATTATATACGATGTTCGCCCTTGCTTCACTAGTTCGTCTGCCCGTCATGTTATTATTAGGCATATTGATTAAAAGACGATGGACTGTCCACACCAAATTTAGTGAAAAATAGCCTACTTGTTCAGTCAACTGAACAGGAACGAACAAGCACAAATCACAGTGATCTTATTTAAACATTATTGATTTATAAGTTGCACTTATTCCTTCAAATTCATACATAAAATTAATATCCAATCCATATAAAGAACATGAAGTCAACACACACGTTAGAACATAGTTTAGCGAATGCCTGTGCTATTATGAAGAATTAATAAATTCGCCCTGAAGATGTCAGCTACAATTAGTACCGAAACACTGGCTAATTTTTTACATTCAACGCGGCTGGCTCCGGAACGCCGAGGTTATACATTGAACTTCAGCAGCGAAAACCAAAGGACATGACACACGAGCATAAACCTGCGTCAACAGAAATATACTACAGCACATCGGCTTAGATTTTCTTTCGGTTGCGTCTTCTTTTGTTTACGGATTAGGCCCTCAGTCGCCTGCGGATTCAATAGACCAGCGGAGCGGATAAAGCAACGACAGTAGAGGACCAGGAGGGATAATAGGGCTAGAACGGTGAAGACCGCAGTCTGCTCGACTGTAAGCAAGGAGTCCGCCCACTAAGCACCTACTCTGTGGTCGGAACGCTTCGGGTAAAAGGCTTAGCCTTCTCCTAACTTTAGATCCGCGTCCCCCGGTTACACGTACACTCGTAATGCCTGAGCAACGGCTTCGTGATAAATGGTAATTTAAATTTCCACAATTTAAATATTAACGTTATTGAAACTGAAATTGTATTTAAAATGCCATCTGATGTCCTCATACACACAGCACGTCTGACCACCAGCAACGCTCCTGGGTGGTTCTTTGTCCTGTCTTGCATTCGTCCGTCATTCTGTTACTTACGGTAAGCCCTTGACTGCCATATTGCTTTTAAGCCCTAGGCTGTTCATCGTGGCAAATTATAATTAACTGTTAAAACACCAAAAGGTGTAAGATCTGATGTTTTCACAGCGGTGAGTATGAAGATTTCTGTCTTCTGGATTGTTGCGCTGTGTAGTCTGGTAGATGTTTACCAACGTTTCAGAGGTCATACTGTCTCCGTCATCAGAGTATAAAGATTTCTGTCTTCTGGGTTGTTGCGCTGTGTAGTCTGGTCGATGTTAACCAACGTTTCTGAGGTCATACTGCCTCCATCATCAGGGCGATAAGTATGAAGATTTCTGTCTTCTGGGTCGTTGCGCTGTGTAGTCTGGTCGATGTTAACCAATACTGCCTCCATCATCAGGGCGATGAAAATTTCTGTCTTCTGGGTTGTTGCGCTGTGTAGTCTGGTCGATGTTTACAAACGTTTCAGAGGTCATACTGTCTTCATCATCAGGGCGATGAGTATGAAGAATTCTGTCTTCTGGGTTGTTGCATTGTGTAGTCTGGTCGATGCTAACCAACGTTTCAGAGGTCATACTGCCTCCGTCATCAGGGCGATTCTGATAACGGAGGCAGTATGACCTCTGGAACGTTGGTAAACATCTACCAGACTACACAGCGCAACAACCCAGAAGACAGAAATCTGCACACCAAAAGGTTTTTCTAAGCATGCGATAACGGAAGGAAGCAAGATACTCCAGGTTACAATGCAAACGTTAAAAACAGGATAAAGAATCAAATGCGTGTAACAGCTGGATGAAGCAGCAATGGCCTACCATTTGTCACGCAATTATTTACAGAAGGTGAGATTTCAAAGTGTCTGAATCATAATGAAGCACGGTCATGCCCATCGTATTACAGAGAGACACACGGTTTCAGACAATTCAGTTTCTAATCTAATTATGTTTAGAGAAGCTGATAGTATCTTAACTGGCTAAAAAGTAATTTCCCTTCTTAAAAATGTATAGATTAAAGACAGTTTTCTATCAGCCAAGAAATTCGCGGGTTTTACAAACTGAAGCCATGTTAAGTGCTCTGAACACTTGTTATTGTACACAATCTTTACAAAACACATTCACGTGACCATGGATCAGACAGTGAGAGTAGAAGGAAGTACGAAATCAGCGCAAGACGTTCGTTATTACTACTTCTATGAGACTTTCACGAATTTTACATTATCGTCCGAGTATATTTCATACGATTTTAAATGGTCTGGTATTGTTATTACATTATTGCCAGAGCCTACTGTTGACATGTTCATTCGTAAACGTGCAACATAAACAATTTTTCTCGCTGACACCAAGTCCCAAGAAATTAAAAACGTTCACAAGAGCGTCCCTGTGGAATACAGTTTAGTTACCATCGCCTTATTTGTTTAACATTAATATTATCATCCTCCCATCTATGTCTAGATCTCCTCGTTCGACATGTCCCGCTCAGATCACCTGCCTTGATATGATCCATACAAAAGTTTCGTAATGTCCTGAGGCCACTGGGATTCAAAATTATCTACTCAGAATATTCCTTCTTACTGACACGAGTGACATTTTCACACTTCCTATTAATATCGTAGGCTTTTTATTTTTAGAAGCTGCATTCTGAACCCAAAATTGAGGGCAGTGACGAGGCTGCTAGTCATCTTGTCAAAACGGTGTCTTCGTAACCTCGGATGTTTATGCCACGATTTCTTTGATCAAACAAACCTTGACGCGGGGAACGCGAAGTACGAGATCCTCTGACAGCTTAAGAAAGCACCGATCATATATTTCTTTGCGAAGTAAGCTACAAAAGAACTCGTAATAGAAATGACATTACGCGTATAGCAACCTTCATCCGCATGTGTCATAACATAGCTAACATATATAACATATTTCATAATGAAATGTGTATCTCTTATGACGAACTAGTATGAACTTCCTTAAAGGTCATTTAAATAAGATAACGCTGTTCTAGTTGTTGGTAAACAATTCTGTCCTCTTCGTCCGCAAGGTTGCATGTCATTAATTCGTTTTAATATAAAACGTGAATTTATTCAAACATTTCCGTAATTATTTTTCATGTTATGAGCGCACATTTTATCCTGCTCGTAATTAACCCTTAATAGTCCAGTAAGTTAATAAAGCGTCTTTCGGGGGGCTGGGGGAACACAAATGAAGTCATCTGTCTGCAGTTTGGTTCCCAGTCAA